GGCGCCGGCGACGACTACGCGACACATCGCTCGTCCACCGCGAAGAGACTCGAATGACGACGTTCTCACGTATGACGGAAGCGTTGGGGCTTCTGCCAAAAAAAATCATTTCGTGGAACATCTTCCAAACTGAGTCCGCGTTTCAGTCTCCGCAATACGCCGCGTGATGTCATCGAATGTTTTCGGGCTTTTTGGCGACGCGTTCCGTACTAACAGTAGTTTGGTCATTCGGGGATCTGCTTATCTCGCTGTCGAAGTCGAGGCTCTGTTCGCGTTCTCGACACGAGACTTTCTCGTATAGGTTTGCCTCATGCCGTGACTCCGAGTTCTTCCCCGCGAACAGGCATCGGGAATCCGACCGGAGGGAATGCTTCAGCTCGCGGAGAAATTGGGCTTCTGTATCGATAGGTCAGAGTGATCTTCTGGCGGCAGGAGCTCTGGCGGTCCCCGCTCAGCCACCGATGCCTACCCGTGAGACTCGCCCGGAACGTTTCTTCTTGTTTCTGTCCCCTCGGAAACGGAACTATCGATCCATTGTTCTGCAAACGCTGCCCTCTCATCATGATCGTTTTCGTTGGAACACCTAAATCGCTTGCGGTCCGGAGCAATTTGTTGCCGTCGATCCCTCATCAGAACAATGAATTCCGGAGCCCGAATACGCTCCCCGATGGGAGAGCAGTACGGAACACGATCTACAGTTCGAAGCAAGACCAAACTCGAGGCAAATACTTGATGGAGTACTAGCGATTCTCCTTGGAGCTTTCTTTCTGAACCCGATTTCTGACGGACTTCCGTGCGCCGGAATCTAGTCCACTCTCCCCTCGGAAACTCCGGGGCAAGAAAGTAGAAAACGATGTACCGGGAATTAATCTGCCGGCTCTGGAAATTCACCGTCGAACGTCCATCTCGCATAACTTCGGGGAAGTTCCCAGCTTCTCTCTCAACAAGGACCGGCGAGACTTCTCCCAGACGGTTTTCTGAGAAATTCCCGATGACCTTGCTCTTGAGTAACATCTTCGAAAGCTGTATGTAACTGTTGGCATCTTTGCCCATGAAAACGTCACACAGGAAAATCACTCTCCTCCACCCACTTCGGTCGCGCGTATCAGGCCTTATCGGAATCGTATCTTGACGCTGTCGATAAAAATATCGGCGAACGGTTTTCGCCATATTTTGTCACTTGTGACCAAATGTGACAGTTTATGTTTCCCGGCTCTGCTCCACTTGCATTCGCCGGGTCGGAGCCGCGAGTCGAAAGCACACAGCGGAAGCGCAGGTCCCCCTTCAGAGGCTCGAACGGATTTCGCTTTAGGCGCCTCCGTCGGTATGCTGAGAAGTCGGAGAGCAATCGGAAGCTTCCATCTTCGCCCAGATGACGAGTCGTGCCTTCGGAGCGGAATCAGAGGTATGCGGCGAATCCTATCTCGTTGTTCCTTTTCCAAATACCGAAAGTTGAACGACGTCGGGGAGATTTGTCGAGTCGAGCGTTTTCGGTGAAGCATGAGTGATTTTTGAAGGAGAGATTCTTCTCGCATGATCCCTCTCGGTGTAATCGCTGTTTACTCCAAGCTTGGGAGGACTGAGTAATTGTGTTTTTGATTGTATTTTCAACACGGTCATTTTTCAGGTGCTTTTCAGTGCCTCTTCGCGACCCCAGTGTCAGCTCGTTGACGGGGGACAGATTTTCCAGCACGAGGGACATTTAAAGGAACTGAGTCGTTTTCGAAAGGGCTATTCAAAGTTTGGAGACATTCCTGAAGTTTCGTTCTGAAAAATGGCACCGAACGACTTCAGATGTTCTGTGCGTTCTTGAAACGGCGGCAGCGAAAAGAGAAGGAAGAACGTGGAGGAAACTCACTCTGGAAAAGAGTGATATCTTTCAAATGACTTTGTGATGGTTCTCGGGGAAGCGGGCGAGTTGAGCAAGTTCAAAGATTGGAATGTCGCTCAAGCCAGAAACTTTATTCTTTCCATTCTGCCAGTCCTACCCGAGAGAGGTGAGCGATATTGGCTTGGTAGCTAACGATTGAGAATAAGTGCGACACGGTCTTCGGATTCCGGATGTGAATACGTTGGATGAGCGCCTATGAGGCCGTTGGATGATTGATCGTATTCAACGACTTCGGACATGGTGCTGATCGGTGTGGATTGAGCGACACTAATCGGATTGCAGCCTTCCACGGAACCCCTGATACATCGATTCGATTGTTACGACATCAGTGTGGATTCGAGGATTAAGTCATTCGATTCCGACAGGCTGAGCTCCTTGGGTTTAATACCCACCAATTTGTGAGCGTTTCGATCTGACAACTCGAGCGTTGTCGACGCCGCGTCGACGTCGCTGTGTGTTTCTCGGACTCCGGATTTCCGATCGGTCACAGTGAAATTTACCGCTTTTCAAGCGAAGATTCGGAGTTTATGACCGGGACTTTTAACGAGTTTTCACACAAATTCCCGAGGAATATACCACACTCCTATTTTTGGAACTCAAAGCCGCCATCCCCGCGGTAGCGTCCGTCCGTTATTCAGGGAGCCGCTCTGGTAGATATGGATATTTTCCGAAGGAGAACCGCCGATTCTCCCCGCGATTCGATTCCGTCGGTTTGAGAACGGAATTGTCCAGAAAACGGAATCCTGCCTCCGAGACAACGATCGACGGCGAATAGCGGTACACAGAAAATTTGAGTTCGAACAGAAGTAGATTCGAAACGGGAGATGATCGGCCAGTTTCACTCACCTCACGGAGTTAAGATCGGTGCACTGATCTTAGATGTCTAAACTTCTCGTTGCATCGTGTGGGCTCGATTTCTTCCACAATTAAGGTAGTTGCTTCAATTCTGAACCAGAAGCCACATCGGTATCCAGCTGACGAGTCAATGAACGTATTCCTTTCGTTTTGTATTCACCAGATGCCCCACGACTTGCGTAGGAGTCCCGTTTGAAACGACGTGCCTCTCGTATCCGTGGGCAGAAGTCTGAAGCCTGAAGAGCTCGGCTACCTTTCTACCAGCGGAACCGGCGGAAAGGGATATCGTCAAGTGGAGAGGACTGTGAGAATTGTGTCTTCAGGTAGCATCATGCGCGCCCGCTCACACGGCCTGGTCAGAGAAGAGCAACATGCGGACCAGCAGTCCCCGAGCACCATCGGCGACACAGACGGAGCAATGGCTCGAATTAAAGAGGGAACTAATCCAGTTCCAACCGTGGCTTGGCGGCAGATTTTCATTGATTGAAAACAGAAGGGAAGATTCTCCCTTTCATATTTTTGTGGAGCGACGCATTTTGAAATTAGAGGGAGTCCGGAAATCGGCAGAGCCCCTTCGCATTACCCATATTCCACTGAAACAAATCGGAACTGATTGAAATCGGGACAAAATCATCAGTCGCCGGTTGGCTCCTGGTTCGATTGTGGTCCCTTATACTTTATTGATTCCCCTGTGATGCGGGACCCGAGCGGGAATCAGCGCATGTCGTCTCAAGCAACAGGGGCGGAGCAGCTGGTCAATTGAGCCAGCGGAGCTTGCTTTCGGTGCTATTGCGAGAAGTTTCATGCTACCCGACTCTCATGAATGAGGACGATTTCAGATTGATTGAAGGATCCTGTTAGAGTGTTGCAATCGATCATCGAGAAGATATCCATGGAGAAGTTGAGTCTGCAGATTCGCGAGTGCTCCGCGTCAATCTCAAAGTTCGGAGCCGGGAATTCCAAAACATCCATGGTCGTCGGCCTGCACTCCACATTTCTAAGCAGATATGTCAGCAGGGGTTTCAGCCTCCGGGGGAGTCCTCAGCGAGAACTTGTAGCGATCCATTCTTGCGCGAGTAATTGGGACCGGGGTCCAATCCTCTCATCTCGGGGGGCGACGAGGTCCAGTCTCAAGTCCCCAAGGGGTCGAGGAGGCCATAAATTGGCATCAAGCGCATCAATTATTTACTCGATTCATTGACCCGCTCAAGAAGGGTCCAATAGGTATTCAATGTTCCCGATCGGTTTCGAATGAGACACGGTGTCGGTTAGACTGAGGGGTGGCTTCGATCGGCTGGAATGTTGATGAGCTTCTCCTCGATGCGTTTCGGGGGTTCAGAGCTTCGGCCAGGTCTCAATACGGCGCCCAAAATCTCCAGATGTGGGAGAGCCACGACTTTCAGAAGCCGCCGATGGAATTCACCGCAGCTCATCGCGTGAGATACCCACCGGTGTCGAAACTCCGACAAATTTTCATAGACCTGCGGCTCGCGGTGCAACAGCTCCGTCGGGCCTGACCATCATGACTCACGACAAGAGCTGCTTCCACTCGGATGGCTGGTAGACCGAGATGTGAACTCCGATTGAATTCTTCGTCGACGAATATCTCCGAAAAGTCAGGACTTGGGGATGGATGGAATCACTCGATGGGCTGACCTGGTCAGGTGACCGGTTTTACCGCTGTTTTTTATCTGGCGGAGATATCACTCCGGCATCCGGCGAACCGCGCAGAACGTACATCTCTACTAGGAGCGGAAGTCTACATTGTATCTTCCACAGAGGAGAGAACAGATTGAGGCTTTCGGTGGGCGACAGTCCAGAAGGAGCGATTGACATGATTCCAATTCGAAAGGATCGATCTAATCATGATCCAATTTGATTGCCCATTGTTTTGAATAGAAGACACAGCCACGTTTTTCTCAATACTTTCTCTCCTTCGAGAAACTTTGGGATTCGCGGCTTGCCACGTGTTTTTTTTTCGCGTTGCAATATGTTGCTCATTCCAGCGGTCTTGCCTCCGTAGAGTTCTAGAGCTCCTCTGTCACATGGTGACGGCGCACCACGCCGCGTGGGGGCAATCTTTCATTCAATCGAGCTTCACCTCTCTAATGAACTCAATCCTACCTAAGGACTGCGTCACGGACTTTCAATCCTGGTTGGGTCAGTCGACGCCGACGGGAGGTAGAGGCTAGGAGCTCCGGCGTGGAATTATCCGGAAGAAGGAGAACGAACACGACGCTCATCTCGATGAGCATCAAACTTGAATTTGCGAATTATACGTGGCATCATTCGAGCTGATTGAGTAGTCCATCTGTGTGGATATCATCAGTTAAAAGGAGCGAAGGCTTTGGGGTTCGATGTGAGTAGGTATCAGATCGGGCCGACTCCAGAGAAGCCGAGAGGCTTACTCTGAGCAGAGACCCGTAAGCGCGTCCTCTCCCAACGTAGACTGGAATATCCAGATAGGCCGGATCCGCCATGGAATTGATCCTATCGGGTTCGGGTTCGACCATCATCATCATCATCATGTGTCCAGTGGAAGCGCTCACAAGATCATCGATCATCCCCAACCTCAAAGCTCATTCAAAACTCCAGGGGACTCCTGAAGGTAATCATGCGCAAGCTAGAAAATCATCGAAAAAATTCTCATCTCCCTGAAGGATGGCGCGGGCATACTGTGATTATGAGCGATAGAGTTTCCCCATCGTTTGCTACAATTTCGCGAATTTCGCTCGGAAAAACATCGCGAGATACATTGACAGTTTTAGAACAACTCCTAGCCTGAGCCTGAGCTTGAAGCCTAGCCAGCGCCTCGAAAACCCAGCTCAAACTAATTATGACAGCGAGGGAGCCCAGTAGTGTCAATCAAACCTCCGGGGGATCTTGAGACATGTAGTTCCTAGAATTCCGGTATTGTATCTGAAGATCTCATCCTTCGGTGATGGGGGGGAGATGGTCGATTATGTGAAGGACTCACCGTACAATCGAAGTCATCAGAGATCCGAAAACGTTTGATTTGCTCTGACCGGCTGACGTAGCCGGACAGGAGAGTGAGATGATCGGTGATCACTTGGGCTGAAAAATCCTCGACCACTGTTCGTTTCTCTATGGGCGCGAGTGGCTCCGGGGCCCTATCAGATCCCTGGAGTCCGAAACGAAACCTGCAGTCTGATCGGTGATTTCGGGCTGCATTCGAATCGAGTTTCTGCTACTCTAAGCGATGGATATATCTGGTGAATGACTCGGAAATCGTCACGTTTCTATGAATCATGCCCACCATGCCTGTCCGAAGCCCATCCACCAAAGCCCCCCACTGCCCATCCTCGGGGCTCTCGATGCTGGAAGTCAAATCCAACGATTCCGCCGAGCCATCGGCGGCTTCTTCCATGGGATCCCAACTGTTAGTTGAGTCACGGAAGAACCCCGGCGGCCTCTCGGAAGAGAAGTTCGGATCTTTCCAGAGGATCAAGGCAAACACGGGATCCTTTATGGAATGGTATATCATCGGTCGATAATCGAGCACACAAGCTCACGTGCACAGTTGTCATCCGAAAGCGGCCTGGGGGGAATGCGGCGACCCACGATCTAAAAGGAGCTTATCCGGGATGAGCTTCGTGATCGAGAAAAGAGAGTCCCAGAGAAATCACAATTCTCCGTAGCTGTCGGAAAATGAGAAAAGCTCACTGGATGGTTGATATCTTCGGAGGGAGATGTGCGCTGCGAATCGAAGTCGGAGCTAGAGCAATCCGTTCGTCAGAGCTTATCCGGAGTTGTTGATAAATTGATAAGCCGTGGCTGAGAATAATCGAGTACTTGAGGAGGTCAGTCTCTCGGACGATCGAGGCGAGAATTCAAGGAATGACGCGAGTAAAGGCTCTTCGAGGGATCATCACGCTGAGAAAAATCACCGAGATCCCCGAGAGCAGCTGTATACTCCTTGAGAGAGCATCCAAGGTTTCTCTTGAATCCAGGAATGATTGATCTTGTCATTTACCTCTCAGTCAGAGCTGAAGAGGCGGGGCGGGGGTCTCCTGAAGGTTCTGGGATGAGAGACCGGGTTTTCTTTAGACTCCCTCTCAGATCCGGAATCGGAAGCTTCCGACTAATTTGGCTCGGATCCAATCCTCGCCCGACAATCCACACATCCGCTTCAGAAGCGTGTCGAGTACTGAGCCTTCATGGATGGATATTTGAAACAAATGGTGGGTACTGATATTGAATTCTAGCCGGAACCAGCTGATCGCAACCAGCACTCGGAGTCGAACAGGGCAAAGGACCGGCGCCTAGCTCTCCCCTATTCGAGCAGCGCGGCAGCGGCGACATCAAAGCCTGCTTTACACGAATGGACTTGACGGTGCGCCGAAGGGTCTATCGAGGGCGGGCGGTTAGGGATGCTCCGTAGCTAGTCGAGATATTTAGCCGAAGGACAATCCCCGCATTCATTGGATACAGTTTGTTTTTATTAAACAATTCGATAAGTTATCAACATAATTGTTACCGTCATTGTCAAGGAAGATTTAATTATTTCCTCTAATAATTCATCGCGTCCAATCCATTGTATGCGTGTGTACCACGACCGCGAAACCTTAAAAATACTTCACATTTGTTGTTTGCTTATTAGTTGTGGTTTCTTTATCATGATCGTATTCAACCAATCGAAGATATATCTAAGTATTTATTCACTCGTGCTCCATCGAATTCAACTTCAATCTCTAAGGCTAGTTTTTACACATCGTCAATCGATGAGGACATCATCATCATCATTATCGGAGTTCAGAGTTAAAAGACACCGGGGTGAGCGAGACCAGTATCAATCAAATTCCGCAACTAATCTCCATCGTCATCACCCCATTCGTTTTCGCCATCACCGGGAGAGTTCAACTACGCACTAGGCACTTCTCCAGTGATACGACGAATCTCTGCTGTTCAACCGACGACGATCAATCAAATCTTTCATTATCCGCGCGCATCCCTATCGAATAACATCCTCGAGGAGCGAATCCTCTCAGCTATATCCCTCATCATTTCATGTGTATATCATCATTTATCCGCAGCGTCGCTGGATCTCTCGCTCGCAGCAGTTAGGAGCCATCTCGAATGCTCGCTAGGTATGTCTTACCGCAACCATTTCTCTCGCATGCTACAAGTGTTTCCGACAAGTCGCGGCAGGTGGCCCGCCGCTCTGTTGTAGATGCTGGCCCGTCGTGGTCTTGGAGGTGTCGCAGGGTCGAGCAGAATTTTCCTGGAAAACGCAAAGAACCATGATGCCTCCGAAATTATGATCAATTGCCGAGTAGCTGCAGAATATGAATCTACCATATACGATGTTGAGTAAGAATCGGAAAAGACTGGAATTACCTCAAGAGTTAGCGCGGGTGCAGGAATTCTGCCCGAAGAGCCGGCGACGGGGAGCGACAAACGGGAACAATTGTCGAATCTAGTTTTCATGCTCCTCCTCAAGGCACGAGCGCGAGTGGGTGTCATCAGGCGGCAGCACTGGTAAGACACAAGCAGAAATAAAACATATCGACTTGACGCTTTATTAAAATGATGATGATGCGGATGATAATGAGCTTCGACACGGTCTCAACGTGGGCAATTCGAACATATTATTCTCAAACACTCAAGGTTTTCCAGAGACCTTCTCGGCGGGTATCGGGATAAACTCCGCAGCTTGTGTTCTGGGTGTGGGATACAATTATTTCCATGTTGTTGTTCATCCTTCTCCAATGGTTACCAACACCTTCTCTAGCGCGCTTTTCTCACGCTCATCTTGTCCACGGAAAGCCTCCCACGGCGCTCGTCGATGCCGCTGCAATCGGCAGCCGCTCCAACAGCTCCGTTCTCGGTGCTCGCCTCGAGTGCCTCGAACATTAGACACATCGATACATAGGGTAGATTCTTAGACCGATCGATGGATTGGTGGATGGATGTGTGGATGGACCGACCGACTGATTGATTGATTGATGGATGGATGGTGGATGGATGCTTTCTCCTTGTCATGGAGAGATGAGACAATGATCGTTGTAGATAATCGTATGCGTGGATGGATGAATCAATTATTAATGACTCATTGTCGGATGGATGTACGTGTTAATTGGTCGATCGAACGAACGATCGATCGATCAATTGTTCAATCAATCAAGCGCTTGATGGGAGGCGAAACTCAATCTTCATCATCCTCCGAGGACGAGCTCTCTCCTAGATCTGAGTTCATGACAACCATTCCATCAAAGTTGTTCAGACAGGAACTGCATTTCTCAATCCGACAGACTCCGACCTTGACGCTCTTCGGCATGTGACTCTCGGCCAGATGTTGACACCAGTCGTCAACTTTCAGGTTATCGCAAAGGGCGCACGTTTTTGGATAGTTCGTCTCCTCTCGAGGTTTCGAACTTCCTCCGCTCGCGGCCGTCGCTGTTTCGTCTTTGCGATCCTCTTTCTTGCGCTTTGCAGCGCTCTGGTCCGAAGAAGATCCGCGTTTCATCGCGCCCGAATGTACCGAATATACGTGCGATTCAAAAAGCTTGTACAGATTAAAAACGGCGGTGCACACCTGGAAATTCCGGAATTGGGTTACTCTAACGATCGAGCGCTTGTCGCGACTCGGCAAAAAGGTCGCGGACGTCTCGCGTCACGAAAATGACCAATAATCAAGAATCTTACCGTGCACTTGTAAGAGAGACTGGCAGGTTTCACCGCCACTCTATGCACTTGGCTCATGTGAGCAACGAGTTTGCTCGCGTATATGCGTCCGCAAACCGTGCACCGACCTCCGTCCTGACCGTTCTGAGCCAACTCCTGCATGTTCGAGGTTACGAGTCCGTGGGCTCCTAGAAGATGTCGTTCGAGACCCTGGTCCGTGAAGAAGCGCCATTTGCATTTCTGGCAATTCAACGGAGGTCTGCTTGCCAGCATCTTTGGATGTATCTTAACCTGGCGGGGATACAATCAAAATCAGCATCGGAATGATTTCAAAGACTTCTTTCGCAGAAAAAATGGCACCGGAGCGTCGAGTGTCGAATCCCTTCCGTTTGGGAAATACTCGAGTCGGTAAGGTAAACTTACTTTGTGGATCCAGTGCATATGACTGCGAAGTTCGTCGAGATCCTTGATGTATCCGTCGCAAATCTCACAGATGACGAACGCTCCCGCGCCTCCCTGGGAGTTCGCCCCACCCTGACCTGAACTTTCGAGTATGTATGGAGCGCGACCTGTTCCGGGCGCCGAAAGTCTTGTAGGAACCCCTGAAACAGGTCGGATTGAGTCCCTCGGACGACTCCGGAGCGGAACGAACTCGGAACTCGCTTCCGAGAGCGCCCATATCATAGCAATCATCATCATCAGTCATGAATCATAAATGCACGGGTGTTGCAGGCGTAAGGTAGTGATGCTGTGACGAAGCCACCGACATCGAAAGTTTCCCCACAGCCAGCACCGGAAGAAGATCCTGTTAGTTGAGTGAATCAAGCACCTGGCAGACGGTACTCGGAGAGCGCACATCCAGAGATAGAGATGAAAGGGGAGCATTGAGAGAGATAAACAGACAGACGGCAGGCAGGCAGATAGGAGACCCCGATAGACAGCATTCCGGTTCATTGACATTCGCGCTAAGGCTCAGAGGAAAATCGATCGGTCAATTGATCGACTTTCGAGAGATCAACTCGCTCTGGGTACCCCAGTTCCCCAAGCGAAGTTCACCGACAGTCGGTAAACACGTATGCGGCATATATCCCACGAGTCGATTGAGGACGAAGCGTGAGCCGAGGCTTTTGGCCCAAGTCGCCGCGTCGGAGACCCGTCAGCCGAGAGAACGAAAAAGAAGTTGCGACAACGACGCCCACGAGCGCCGAGACATGAGTTCCACAATACGCGGTGACGGGAACAAGGAATCGCTCCGAGCGACTGAAGGCAGAGGCCTCGAGTTTCGGCAACGAGTGGTGAAGCTTGCATGAATAGTGATATGAATGGTGAGAGCAGAAGCAGCAGAAGTTCCTGTTCTCGTGATTGTGGCACTAGGTGTTCGACAGGCGGTCGATTGGAAATGTGCTCGATCAAGCTGCGTGCCCTGGCTGATTGCTTCGCCATCGATTCAAGTTCGATCTCGGAAGAGCCGAAGATCAAGAGGATGCGGATGACTCGCTGAGCATGAGGAACCAGCCATCGACGGATGGCCTCGGCGCATTCGAAAAAGTATCACACGTACGGTTTATCGACGTCGTCGTCGTCGTCATTGTCATCAACAAACCAACGATAAAGTGGATTAGAGCGAGTGAGTGAGTTAGTGTTTCAGTTAGTGAAGAACACCACGGTCAAGAGCATCGATCAGTACAGAAAGATAGAAAGAAGTAGTCATCATGATCATCGACGTCGTCATCGGAACAGTGGCTCTGACAACAACGACGAAGTTAGAACACGCTGCTGGAAGAGCTCAGTTGAAAGCAAGGCTGAAGCAACCCGGTCTGTTCGGTCGTGTTGTGAAGCAAGCAAATACCTGGCATGAGTTCGCCCTTATCCGGTAAAACACCATCTGCTAAGTCGGCGCCCGAGGTTGGCTTCGAGGATGAAGGGGGTGCGATCTGGCCGGCGGCTCCTACGACAGCAGCAGCGGCGGCAGCAGCGGCGGCGGGGTTGTTCGCGACAGCGGTGGCCGCGGCCGCGACTTGGGCAAGTTTCGCAGCGGCGTCTTTATTTCCTAATGCGGCGAGGACCGCCTGGGCCTGTTGGCTCTGAGGACCACCGCCCCGCGCTGTGGCCGTCAAGGCGGTCAGCAAAGAATGAGGATTCGTTCCGCCGTTGGTAAGCGCCGCCAACGCCTGAATGTTGACTCCTTGCGCTGCCAATTGCGCAGCGGCGTGAGATCCCGGGTCCATCGGCTCGGCCACCTTGTAGGCCTTGTGGTTATGGGCGTCCGGACCCACGGGGAAACGGGGTTTCGTCTCTCCTCGTGGGATGACGAACGCTGCCCTGCACTTTCGATTTGTACAACACCAGCGCGATGAACCGTCGGGACAGTATTGTTTGAACTTGTATTTGTAGTCGTGCTCATCGACATAGAGATCTTTCGGCGCACGACCTTCGGAAAGACCCGCCGAACTGCTGCTGCTGCCGTTCGCCGGAGCCCCACTGCTGCTAGTAGCCAAACCCGTATCTGCACAACAACAAAACACTACCTCAGTACAACAGAATAAAAAAGTCTTTCCTAAACAGGGTTAAGTATCTCTAGCTGCTTATCGTAACGGAAAGGGGGATGCTTCGATTTACAATTCGTTAGGGGAGAATCGTTATCGCTTTGGTGAGGTTTGGAGACGAGAACGAGAATATAGAACTCTGAATTCAATCACATTAGACCCAAGCTACATAGAGTGACCTCGAGAATCGATCAACGGAAGTGGACTAGTAACAGGAAAAGCCAGGACGTCTCGGACGAAGGGAAGGACCATGTGACAGAAAGCCTTTCAAGACATGAATCGAACAAGCTGGGGCCATCGTTCCGATGTATTCCCCTCGCTAAGGGTCTCAGCTCAAAGAGTTTGAAAGAGCTTCAGATCGACTTTTTTTTCTGATATCTTTCGGACGATCGAGTTTTCCCCGAGCGACAAAGGGTCCGTCTCCTCCTTGAGGTGGGACGGGAGAAATAAACCAATCTCCACTTTTGATTGATCCACGTAATGTGGGAGCTCGAACTTTTCCAGGATCTAGTCTCTGTCTAGTGAGCGTATGAGAAACACCTTGAAGATTATGTTGATTCAATCAAAGTAGATAATTAGGCTGCAAGGTCGAATGCAAAGTTGTTCCAACGAGGCGCCATATGGAAAAAGTTTGTCGGGAAGAATGCCACCCAAAAAACGTCCGACGTGCATTGATCGATTCGGTGTAGCGTCAACGTTGTGGGATAGAAGTTATTAGGTATTAGCGTTTGAAGTATTCGTGTGTCAATGAAGCTGCAGAAAGAGGCAACCGAAATAAGTATGAGCGACGAGGAAATGAATCAGAAAGGTCACAAGGGTGGCATGAGTGAATGGTAGTTCATGGTTGAAATTTTCTCAGTCAGCTCGCATCGGTGAGCGACGCTCAATATATTTGATCAGATTCTCTCCCACACGAGAATGTGAACGTGAAAGAAAAACTGAATAAAAATCCCTCCGAGGTACCTCAGAGGTCCCACTCAATAAAATGTCCACTCCTCATGACCAACGACCGCCTGTTAGGCAATGTTAGATCTACGCAAATAAAGTCCCGGGTTCCTCTGTACGTCTGTCTGTCTGCCTACCTGCCCTGCCGAGCGACGATAAACGATCGATCGAACCTGAGCAGGTTTAGTCACAGAATATTCGTTAATGTTATTCGCTGCTTCTGTGATTCCCCGCCCGCAATTATCGATAACGCAGCAGACGGAAAAATCGTGCAGGAAACTCACGAGCGATTCTAGAACCGCGAGCATCGAGAAAAAAACATTGACCAATTTCACGAGGACAACGGCACCGAGAGCACCGGCAGTCGCGTAGACAGGGATTTGAAAACAGAGGGTTCGACAGAGGAAGACGGACACTACGTTTGGGTATCGGGAGTGATTCGCTATCTCTGACCGAATAATAGAAAAAAAGCTGGACATACCCGGTTGCGGAATTCGCGCAAGACTTGCGGAGGCCGTTGCCCGGTTTTGAGCATTTAGCGCTGTCACCGAGAGACCGTTGTTCCCGTTGAGTAGACTTGCAGCCTGAGATGAATACTGCGCGGGAAAGAAAACAAATCGCTCCGTAAATGACCTGTTGCCTGCCGGGAAGACGGAGGACGATCGTGCCCCAACATTTGGGTGCCATCATCGAATGGCACCGGACATAGTCTCTCGAGATATTGAACGATAGGAAGTGCACCGACACGCGCGGATATGGAACTTACTCCTGCGAGGGCTTGCGCTTGTTGGATAAGATTTGCTTGAGAATTGTTCCTGTTAGTTCCTCGACCGACGGCTGCTTGAGCGGCTCGGTTAGCAGCTGTGGCTGCCGCAAGCGTCTGCAGTTGTTGGTAGAGAGCGTTCGACTGTCCGCGAATATTCGACTGGCCACGGCTAGCTGCAGCGTTCATCATCATCTGACGCTGTTGAGCTGTATTCGCGGCCTGAACCGCATGGGCAGCCGCCTAGAGAGGAAAAGGATGGACTTAGAGGGGCGAGCGGGACGACCGGGGGCCGGGGATCACACCGAGTTGGGGCCGAATTCCTCTTGGTCTGTGTTGTTTTCGGAGAACTCACCTGGTTCTTCGCCTGGGTCAGAGCGATGAAGAACTTCTCGTACATTTTGATGTCGTCGTTTGTGATTGGTTTCGACGTCATTCCCGGCGCTTGGAAATCGTTGCCCGGACTCTGATTCACGCTATTATTGAAGTATCTCTGACAACGATTGACGTGTGTGCTAGCCTTATTCTTGACGTTTGTTTCGAATGGACAGAAGGGGCACTCGTAGAATTGAGGTGGGGGCTCCATGACCGGAACCTTGTTGTGATGTGCCTCCATGTGAAATATGATAGCCTTCGCGTCCCGCGTTATGAACGGGCAGAACGAACACTGTAGTTCACGTCGCTGAGTGAAGTGTGGCGTCAACAGATGGCCCTCGAGAACCAGTTGAGACTCCGTTTTGAAATCGCACGTTTGACAGCGTTTCATTTTATGGTGAAAGGCGGCGTTCTTCGCTTTGTACGACTGAAATGCCTCGGCGTGCTTTTTGGCAGTTTCCAGTAATTCGGCAGACTTACCGTGTCTTCTCATTTCCCGTTCTTTTTGTTTGATCTGATCTTTGTTGTAAGCTTCTTGAACGCGATCGAGACCGAGCTCCATGAGGAACTCACCAGCAGAACTTGCAAAAAAGTCGACGACGGAAGTCTGACCGATTTTAAACTGGCCCTGCGGGGGCACGGGGGCCTTCCTCGGCTTAGCGGGAAGAATCTTTCCATCTTTCATTCGTCTCGCAAACGTGTCCTTCTCTTTGATCAGTAATGGGAACGTCATTGAGGGAACGTCGACGAGCGCCTCGGTGTCACGCATTTTGAATTCGCCCGAGCCCTTCGGCATTTCGCACGGCGTCCATCGACCGATCTTCACTCGACGTTTCATGAACTTAGGAAGGCCTTTATCAAGTTTCCGGACATCTTTTACGTATGGTATGTTCGGCAGGTTCTCGTCGTTCTCCTGGCTTTTCTCGTTTGCCTTCTCACCCACGGCAGCACCAGCGGGTTCGACTTTCGAAGTTGAAGCCGAACATTCGGGCGATTCCACCTTGATCGATTCCTGGAAAAATTAGGGAACATTCCAGTCTTTAAATGCTCGAGTGCATCCGTTCCCAAAGAGGACGGGCACCGGACCGGGATCGCTTCATGCGCCGGGCTCATCATCATCACGACCGGTGGAGTGATCTGGTGTTCGCGAAACGTTACCTTCGATTCCTCCTTCGGATCCTTAGTTTCGTCTATCTCCATAGGTTCCTCCTTGACTTCTTCGTCAGCCGTATCGTCTTCGTCCGGCTCGTCTTCGTCGATTATCAATTCCTCGGGTTCCGAAAACTCTTGAACCTCGAGATCTTCGTCGTCGTCCTCGATGACGACAGATTCAGGTTTTTTATGATCACCATTGGTGCCGTTTTGAGCTTTATCCGAAGTGATCGAATTCTGCGAACTCTCATCCGTCATTGTACCTGGAACGAAAAAATATTTTCATCTCAATTTCGTTCCTCTCGTCTCGAAAGTATCGACGGAGCTCCGGAGCGCATTGCCGGACTCTGGGGGTCGAGTCTGTCATCACGTAGGTTCCGAGAGCTGGGGCGCAGAAATCGAGCGAGACTTCCCGAGCGTACACGAATCGAAGATATCGGCTTTGCTGTAGTCGTCTGAGATGGAAAATATTCGCGCGCACCGGCCGGAATGATACCCGCCGAGAAGCGCGAGGAAAAAAACGTCATGAATACTTCGGCGTTTCTGAGAGAGCCACATGACAGACAATGTCTCAGTTTAGTTCCGCTTGAAGTCGAATGGGTGGATAGTAGTCTGTTAAAGAGTGCCGAACGACGATCGCTCACTCTCCTCAAGTCACTGTGTGTGTGTGTGCGCGTTGTATGAGTGTGAGTGTGTCCGTGTGAGTGTGTCCGTGTGTGTGTGTGTGAGTGTGTGTGTGTGAGTGTGTGTGTGCCTACACATTTGTAGCTGCTGCCGGCCATTACAGAACCAAATGCCGCTGGCACGACCAGCCTCGTTCCGCCATCTTGTTTTCCGATTCCACCATCGAAGTCTGCTTGAATCCCTACCGCCTGCTCGTGGCCGATCAGTAGACGATGGCCAACATTCATGATCGATCGAACAATATCCCACCGCCATGAATCATTATACATGCCGTCATAGGTTGATTTGGGAAGATGATCTCCCAGGAATTATGATTAGTCGCTGAGCACACTCACCATTTTTTAGCGAGATATCACTCTCGCCGGTAGGCATTTTCTTTAAGGACAGGCCGTTCTTGAGAGCAGCTTGCTCTAGTGCAGTTGCTGAGGACACCATGATTATTATTTTCCTTTCCCGTCTGGTACGGATGAGGTGTCGGCGTGGTACTCTATTGTTTCAAGCAGGAATCATTACCCGGATGAACCTGCAAATTCGAAAATACGCCAACGTCAGCATAGCTTCGTCTCCGGGGTCAAGGTCTTGTCGGGATTGCGAGTGACCGAGCAGGATATGAGTATATGGAGGAAGACGTCGTAGTTTTGACGAGGCACTCCGATCGACTCCGAATTCGACGAAGTTTCCGGTCCTTGTCGATTTACTTCATCGTGAAAGAAATTAAAGATCTAGAGCTTGGTCTCGTCTCGAACAGCCAATTCTGGCAGGAGATCCCCAGTTCCCCTTCTCTAAGCTGCAAGAATCGTGAAGATGCAAGATGCAACACTTCCCATGTTATCTGTATCGATCACCGGAAAGATGACATGTCGGACCGGATCTTCGAATGTTCTGATCTCTGACCGAGGAACTCCCCCGACACGCCCCCTCCCCAGAAAGCCGAGAGGGAGCAATCTTCTAGGGAGCCCACACTCGCAGCGCTAGAAGTCGTGAATTTGAGTCGAGTCGTAACGCAACGGCTTGCTATGATCGGCAACATCGAAAGCAGCAGCAGCAGCATGAGTCCCTGCTCTTAGTAGTATTATTACCATGGCAGCCGACGAGCAGCAAACGTTCTGAGCGGACCCTAAAGGCTCAGCGGTCCTCGGATCCGCAACAGGACATTCACCCGCAACGAAAAGTTGGCGTACAACGTTGCCGGTGTTGCCGCCGCCACCACCACCACCACCGCCGCCACTGCCGCCACGCTTAAACTGATTCGCTGTCCGGCCGAAAGCCCAGCCTGGAGTTCCTCCATCAGAAGCAAGCCAGCGGAAACATTTCCGCAACTTCATTCCACATCGGCAACTGCGCAATGGAGTCGCATACGAGAGAAAAAAAATCGACGTCCACGTCGATAGGAAAACTTTAACGACAATAGCTCCCGTCTGGTTGGACCTTTTTCTCGTGTCGACGAGACACTCCGACTGCAGAATCAGCAGCGGCAGAAGCGTCGACTCCACAAACAGTGACACCAGGCTCCGACAGGCAGAACATCTTCCCAAGCAACACGAGGACAAACGGCACCGGACCCCCGCGGTAGAAACGAGGGACCGAGCCGGTCGACTCTTCCCCAGAAATCACGACAAAGCTCGCGAGAGCCAAGCACGAAGAAAATGAATAATCCAAAAGTCCTGTCTGAAAAACCGGGGCAACCGAAAGGTACTTCGCCTATTCATACGGAAAGGGACTCGTTGAAATCGTCCCGTGGTAGATGAAATACTGCGGAGAACGATCGCTGCCCTAGTGGTAGGTAGATTTCCCAGAGAGAAATAACATGGAGAAGAAGATACCTTAATCGAGTTCGGCACTCCCTGTGCCAGAACCTCGAAGGAAATCCAGCAGCCAACGGCTCGGGACCCAAGCAGCAGATGCCGGCACTCGAGCTCGCGTGCGCCACGACATGATTCCGAAAATAATTACGTATACAGCTGAAGAGAGTCGGACAATCTGGTTCTGAGATAGCGAGATCCATTCAAAAAAACGACGCATAGGGGAAAGATACGCAATTGAAGGCCCTCTATTGAGAAGTTGAGTGTTTGGGTCGTCGGGACTGACCCTTATCCGAGTGAACGGTCGGGATAAGGAGCGAGCAAATACAAGCGCGAATGACCTGAACCTAACATCAAGCAGCACATGAGAGCGTTCCCCGATGATCTGTTCACGAGAGTTTGGCATCCATGCCGATGCCGCAGCCCTAGTGCAGCGGCCGCCGGTGATGCAGCAGCAGCAGCAGCAGCGAACACCGATGCCGTAGCAAGACACGCAGGGTCTGCTTGGCTGCTCACTCAGGAAGGTACTTGCCTGATCGCTTGCCTGACACTATTCCAGTCCTGCTGGCGCTGACTCCGCTCAATACCACGCTCACAAGCACCGTAATTCCCCTGAGGTTTTTCCCGTGATTTTCCTCGGCTTCCCCCGGGTTTCCCTTCGCAAACGCGAACACGACCGGCAGCCGGCACGACTGTCCTATCGGCCCGCCAACAGCACAACAACAAGCATTTCAGCTGAAGCAACACCAACAACGCGATGGAACAAGAGCTGCAGCATAACTTGAGGGTCCGGAACAACAATAACAAAAACGAGGGCGATGACGACGAGGGCGACGATGGCACCACGGGCTACGAATCGTCGTCGCTGCTCGTAGTCCAGAAGTAGTAGCCCTCAACGAATAGCCGACGCCGCCGTAGCACAAACGACATCGACTTTCATCGACGGCGTTTCTGGACGAGAGTCGACGTTGCAGTTGTTCGTTCACTCCTCGTCGTCGTTCACTGAGAACTCAGAACCTTCTTCGGTTCAAGCGTTGCTTCTCTGCGTTGTTGTTGGCGGTGGCCGCGGCGGCGGTAGCGGCAGCAGTAGTAGCAGCCGCGGCGGCAGCGGCTGCAGCAGCGGCAGCAGCAATCTTCCCTCGCTAGGAGCCCAGCTAGGGGTTGGTATCCGCGGGTATCGGGCGGATCGATCCGCCGTTATGCTGCGGATACCAACCAGAGCTCGCTGTCTATCCGCAACTGCAGAGCCAGCCACTCTGCCGGAGAGATGGTTGTTGTGTCGGTCGGCCGGCGGCAGCAGCCGCAGACAGGCAGCGGCGGCCGCGGCAGCACGACCCGAAAAAAATACAATAACTATTACTTCTCGAAGAGCTCTACCAGAACTCGGGAACTTCGTCGCTCCACCGAGTGATTCGCCACCCCGATCGGAACTCGCGCTGGAATTCCTCCGCCAGTACGGCGAATGCATGTCAGCGGCGAGTCAAAGTGCTCGACGTCGACCCGAGCGGGCAATCACGCACACCGGTACAAGGAAAGCTATTGCACATGAGCGGAGGCGGATCGAGCGATGACGAGTTTTTGCCAAGTAATCCAACATGGAGCCAAAGTTCACTGCATGTGGAGCCGGTGCTCCAGCGGCAGCCATGCCGCGAGCACCGCCATGCTTCGGTTATCGCACGACGACTGTCAGCAAGCGAACGAGCGAGTGAACGAACGGGCTCAAGAAAACGGACGTGGGGGGGTTTAAATCCACGGGCTCGAGTCCGTGAAAATCGCGCCCCATCCAGAACACTCCATGGAGCTAGAGGTTCACGTATGAACGATGCGAACAGCGGTCGACTCGAGCTCGAACACGCTGTCGATGACTCGATGACCCAATCTTCATAGGAGGGAATCTGTGTGCGTTGGGTTCTGGCGACACGGCCCAGATTGCAGTCAGGTAACCTACCTTGTTTTCACATGCGACGGCCTCGGGAAGCCTTTGGTCGGTGGTGTGATCACTTTCGGAGAACCGCCACTACACTGAACGACAACGACGAATATGTTGATGATGATGTTGATGATGGAATAACGCACATCCACTGAATTTGTAGATAACCGATGCAATCCGTTACACAAATCCACAGACCGGTCTAACTGTCCGTCCAAGATAGAGAGACCGACTGACTGACTGACTGACCGACAGACCGAGCAACCGACCGACTTCCGACCGTCCGAACGACCGACTGGCTGACTGTCCGTGCGTGCGTTCGTTCGTCGGTCCTCTCGACCGGACGACCGACCGTCCGTCCGACCTGGCGAATGAGGCACGGGTAGGAGTCGGGGTGATCCTGCCACCAAATCGGTCAGTCGCTCACACACTGTCAGACACCGAGAGACTTGCGGCGATGATTATCCGCACAACTTGACCCCCGATCGCGGTCGGTCGTTTCGAGACTCCGGTCACTGTGGAGATCGGTAAAGTGTAGTCAGATACCCAGTCAGTCCTACGTCCGGCCGTCGCTTCCTCGGAACGTTCGTTTGTGTGTATGGCCGTGTGTGTGTCTGTCCGTCAGTCAATCACTCTAAGGATGAATGGATGGATGGATTGATGGGTAGATGGTGAATGGAAGGCCTTTAAAGCACACGACACCAGAAATACTGTTCGGCTGCGGTCCCGATCGGCGAGAATTCCTGTGCGACGACCCCGAGATAACTCAGCTGCTGATTTGCTTGCGCACACTCTCACGCACATTAAGTGTTTGATGCTCGATCGTTCGTCGTCGTTTGTTGTGTCATCGCAGCACTAGCGACTGCTAGAAAGCAATGGCGGCCGCGGCGGCTGATGCCGCTGCAGATGTTGTTGGCGGTGCTGCTGAACTACTACAACTCCACTCCGACTTCAGACTCGATCTATCGATCGGGTTTCGACTCGCGATCGCTCCCGGGACAACAGAGGACGTCCCACGATTCACCGGCTTCGTCCTCTGAATCCGAGGTCTCTTGCTGGAGATCCGAATGACGGACGCCTGGAAGAGCACGGTGACGACGACGACGACGACAACGAGAGCCGGCCAACAACAACGACCACCCTACTACTAGTACTAGTCGCCGCTGCCGACGACAACAACAACAACCAGTCCGCCGAGCGGTGAACCGATTCTCGAAGTAAGCAGTCGTCCGAGCGAGCAAGCGGCCACTCAATGTAACTAGTCGGCAGTCAAAGGACCGTCCGACCGACCGAGGGACTGACTGGACGGAGAAACCAGCGAACGACGACGACGCACACTTGCGAATAGAAAGATGTACCGACGGGCCGTTGCACAGACCGACAGAAAAACAGTCGTCGGTCGACCAGTAGTCGCCGCCGCCGCCGCTAAGGCTGAAGTCGTCTGCTAGTGCAAGAGGCGCTGCAGTCGCTTCCACCATGAGTTCACCGCTAGTGCCGCCGCTGCTGCTGCTCGTTGGTCCCTTCGTTAAGCTCTCTATCTCTCTCTCCCTCTCCCGCTCGCTCGTTATATATCCGTCTCTCGCTAGCTCGTTGGTTGAGCAGAAAGACGTCACAGAGACCTGAACGAGAAGCCTGCCCACCAGCCGCCTCCTGAGAGCTTGGCTTGGTTGCCTTGGTTTCTTGCTCACTAGCCTGTTGGACTCTCAGTCAGTCGGTCCGTCTGTCCGTCCGTCTGTGTGTCTGTCTGTCCGTTTCTCTGTCGCAGGTTCGCGAGGCGTACTTGTCGGCGACTGCCGGCTCGAGGGCTGCCGGTACCAAGTCAAGCAGACTCTCGATCATCAGCCGCGATGGAGATCTTTGGAACTCACCGGGGGTGTGGGGTCTTGAATTATTCGCCCCGTCATCAGCTTTCGCATGGAATGCATGCCTGACGAGTTCGGAAACTCTCGATCGAGCTCATGTCTGATGCAAGCTGATAGATGAAGGCGAATGAGTAATTTTGCTATTTCAGCCCGGAAGGAATGCACGAAACTTCCAGAATCGAAATATTGGAATTACTCGGAAACATTCCAGAGTCGAAACCTCGGTCCATCCAACCGTTCGGGATCCCTCCCCAAAAGTTTCCCGGAATTCTCCAATTATCCCCTTCCTATTCAGAAAATTCAAAAATCCGCCGACCGTCCGAAAGATCGCGGTGTACGGGCGGCGGATATCGAGTGCGACCGAGAGCGGCCGGCGTGGCCGCCGCTGGCTGCTGTGATCTCTTGTGAAATTGCGAGGCTTTCCGACAGATGATAAATACATAGATCCCTTCCTCTAATTATCCGTAGGAGTTCTAACAAGGAGTCGCGCGTATACGCACGCGATCGCCCTCTCGTATTTCTGTAACTCACCGATTCCGTCGCTTGCAGTGAGCTTCATGCGATCGACAGATGTATTATTCTTCACTAGTAATTTAGGGCACCAGTCTGCGTGCGTGTGTGTGTCTGGGAGATGCCGTCATCATCATCAACATCCACAAGAGCAGCAGCAGCGGCGGCACGGCTGCACAAGTCGGAAGACATTCACACCGACGACACAGCAGCTCCTCTATCGCGAGGAGCACAGCAGCATCGGCAACCGCTCAGCTCAACAAGCTCGGGGAACTATGGGTCGAAGAACGCTGGACCGCGGTCAAACTTGACAACCGCTTCCCGCATGGCCAAGCTGATACATTCGATACTGGAAAGATGCTCCTTCCATGCCATCGGACATGGTGGGAAGGCGCATTCTTGCCGAGCACACCCTCTGACGGGATCCCCTAGGAGGAAAATCCCTTTGCCGAGAGAAACCAGTGTTCTCCGCCATCGCTATTCCGTTCCGCACCCCTGATTGCGCGACGTGCTGGTTCTTGCAATCTCGGAGGAGATCTGATAGTATCTGACGTCGGCATAGTTCCTTCTCGGAAGAATGCTCTCGAATGTCGGAGTGAAGTCGATGAGATTATGGTAGGTCTCCCCGCATCTGAAGCTTCCTCATCACTCTACAGAGGACCAGCGCTTCCTTTCTCCGGTTAGAATTCTGATCTCTGACAGGAATCGCCGGACGCATCGTCGATTCCTTCTTCCCCGACCGAATCCCTCCGCTCCCCTGCAATTCTTGGATCCTCTGCTGTTTCAAGATGGAGAGTTGCTCAACTTACCGCGTAGAGTTCGAGCTCTTCGCGTCGAAAGTTTCCAGACGTGGACCTTTTGAGAGATTCGGTCCCGTATCTGCAGTCACTACATCACCGAATCACTGTATCACAGCATACAAATGCTGGGCGATGGAAAGTCGAGAACGAGATATCTACGGACAGAAACTGCTCGAAAACACGAACCCTGCAGAAGCTCCGTGCTTCTAGAAACGTAGCTTTCGAGTGCTCTCGATCACTCTCCGCGCAGCTCCCGAGCTTCACCTGCTCGATGCCGGAGGAATTCCCTCGCCCGGATCGTTCGAGGATTCCGGCTTGTACCCTGAGATCTTCCGCGAAGAGCAAAATCCAAGAGGGGTGACTCGGAAATGTGCCGGACTCGAGAGAAGCGATTGAATGAAAATGAGATCCAGAAATCGAAGTCGTCATTAGGCTGGCGCAGAGAACTGGTGGGGGACGACGACGCCGGGGACTCTTCACCCAGAGAGATGAGTTCGTCAAAATTGTCGATCGAGCGTGAATGGATATCCTGGTCCCGAATCCATCTCGAGATCCGATCGTGCCATCTACTCCAAAGGAAACCCGTGAAAATATTTCCCCTCCAGATGAATTATCGGTTGGCAGTCCAATGATAATGAGTCAAATGACGCAACGAATGAACAGCTATTTCTTGTCTTCATAGTTACGAGTGCTGATC